CATTAAGAGCAGCTCCTATAGGAAGAGCCTCTTCATCAACAACAAAATAAGGTGAGTGTAGAGGTTGACCTGACTTCAAAGTCTCGTTCTTTATTCCAACAACGAAGATTGCAGCAGAAGTTTTCTTTGAGAAAAAACTGAAATCTTCTGCCCCCATGGTCACTGGCATGATGTGCACATTAGATTCGCCAACCAAGGCCTCGCTAACCTTCCTTGCATGTTCATAAAGTGCTTCATCATTGATCATCACCGGATGAGGAGAATGTAGATTCTCCATTAAGTCCACCACAGCACTACATTGATGAACAGCTGCTTGCGTCCCTATAATCTGCAAGCAAAACTATAATCAGTTCTTTACTTCTTTCCTCACTCCCTTTTTGTTACAATCAGAAGCCAAACGGTAAGATTCTGAATTCAAATTTGGAGATTGAAAAACAACACATAATACCTCTTTAATCCTTCTTTGGATATATAAAAGACCTTCATTGCTCAAGCTTCTGAAAGTTCCACCAATTCTGACTGATTCTGGGATCACATTTCCTGCTTGACCTCCGTCAATAAAACCAACAGTGATTACCTATTAATCCAAAACAATCCCATAAAAAAACATTTCTAATCACTACACGATCATATCAACATTTATGATGACAGATTAAGATACTATCTCTACATAGATGCAATCATGTAACCGGTTCCAAATAAAAAAAATATTTCCAGAGCAGAGGATTTAAAAACATTACTGCAGCCTCAAGGGGATCTATCTCTCGAGACGCAATCTGTTGAAGAGCAATAATGGAAAAAGCTACTGCAAGAATTGGGTCCCTAGCCTTGTGCGGGCTTGCTGCATGTCCACCTTTCCCTTGAATCTTGGCTGAGAAAAACCCAGAGCCAGCAAGCAACGGGCCAGGTCTTGATGCGACGGCACCAGTAGGAAATGTTGGCAAAACATGGATGCTGAGGATACCGTTTATATCGTCAAGAACACCATCTTGCAGCATATGATAAGCACCTGCATGACCCTCTTCACCAGGCTGAAAAACCAGCTTCACAGTTCCCTTCAAAAGCATATATCAAAAAACCAAGAATGAGCTTTCCGTACATATAAATACTATATTAAACCATCTTCTATCAACTTAATCTTTTAAAAAATTATTTCAATAGATGCAGTGTGTATGTGTTCATCCACGCTTTTAGCCAGCGGGCTTGTGCCTAAGAGGTGAGTATAATTATTTTACACTTTCAAGAAAAGGAAAAATGCTACATCCAGGATTACTTTCATATATAAATTTATTAAGAGTTCAATTCCATCACACCTTCAATTCGTTTCTTTTGCTGTGCAGCATCTTGGCTGCTCCAAGCAACATTGCGACATGAGAATCGTGAC